GTATGGATTTCCTCCTTCAAATGCAGTAGGAATCAGGTGTCTCATTCCCTGCATTCACCCTTCAGTTTGAGGTCTGAAAGGCTGATGGAGACTAACCGTGGGGAGTCTCTCTGTGGATCCCTCATTACTGTTCCGCAAGGATCTGATGAGTCCTAGATGAGACAACTTTGCATTTTACTCACAAACTCTTTTAAAAACAGGATTTTTCAAAAACTTTATTTACTTCTTTATTAGTATGTTTGCAGAAAAAAAATGTTTACATTCCTTGCGTGGAATTGGTACAAACACATAAAACATCTTAATTCCTTTTTTCATCCCCTTTCTTTCTTCTCCCTCCAGCCTCCCATGATTTAAAGCAATGCTTATTATTCCTGTGGTATTAAGCTTCTATAATTAATGTTACATCTAATCTCTCCTGTAGACTTCTGCCAATGTTATGGATGATTTCTGGTACTGTCTTTCTTACCACTTCTGAGGGGGTGGATATCACAATTTCCTCATGACAGACAAGAGCAGTGAGGAAAAAGATGGCTAATGCCATATCATACAGGTGGTACCTGTGAGAAGAGGTGTTCACTGGAGAAAAATCTTAGTAATTGAGCTACAAAGTGATGACAATAAAAATGCTCATCACTTTTCAACATTTTCATTGCATCTTTGCACACACTAATGCATGAGGTTCATCAGCCCTTGCTTTTAGGTTTTCTTTTCCCTATCTTTTTTCTATTGTAGTTTCTGTCCTCCTGAGATGAGGCCCTCAGTGGTGTCAGAACCAGGAAGGGCATTCATATAATACTCTGCTCTTCCAACTCTATCTGTCATCCTAAACTTAATAAGTGACCAAAATGTATATTGGGGTTTATTTTTGGAAATATGTAGTCTTTATATTTTATTCACCTGTAAAATCTATGTCTTGTGTAGCACTTTCTCTGCTAAGGCTAAACCCTCTCCGTGCAGCTCATCCATGGTATTTCATGCTGAAGCACCTTCACAAGAACAGAGGGGCACTACTGAGGGTCTCACTCAGGTAAGACCTATGTGGTCATCTTAAACATTCCTCTCCACTAATGAAAAGGGTCCTGGGACAGAATGTCTAGAAAGGTTCTCTTCCAGAAGGGGTGCTCAATGTGACTTTGGCTTTGGCTTAGGATCTCTGCTTAGTCTGTCCTGACAAGTTTGATGGGCTGAGCAGTATCTCTGGACCACAGATAACTGGTCATAAATGTCACAATGCATTTTTAAAAGTTAACAAACTCTAACAGTACTCAAAATGGCACAAAAGTCCCATTGAAGTGACATCAACCTTTTTTTTTTTTCTTTTTAACAGGCACTCAGCATCAGTTCTTTTTTTCTATAAACTGATTTATTTGCAGAGCTTTATGAAGACCCCTGAAAAGCGGAGATCATGGAATATCTAGTATAACCTAAGTGATATGAGTGGGAGCAAAACTGATATGAATTCCATCTTGTCCTACCCAGCAGTTTTGCCCTGGATGGTTCATGATTACTGGAAATCCCTAGGAAATTAAATCAGTGACCTTGTCTTCTCTCTGAGATAGTCAGACAGTGTGAAGAATTTAATGTCTAAATTGGAACCCAAGTGAATAGGAAATGAAGCCAAGTAAAGCATCTGTGGGCAGTAATGGGTATTTGTAGTGCAGTTGATAACCACCAGACCCTCTTTCTTGTTTGCTGTGATAGGGAGGTGTCACCCGGAGGAGCCTTGGGGCTAAAGCCCATCAGGGTTGAGGGCTGGATGATGTAGCTTCATGTGAGGAAGAGGTAGGTCATAGACATGTGCTGGGATGTAAGTGCCTATTATCTTGTTCTAGTGAATTGATAGAATACAAGGGCTACTATGTGGTTACTATGTCTTCCTTTACTCAATTACTTTTAGGACCAAAGGAGAGGACATAGAATTTTATGTAGCTCATTTTTGCAGTTCTTACCCTGTAAGTCATTTTAAAAAAAAGATTTCTGTTGTTGTTTTTATTAGAATAAATATCAGAGCCTCAAAACCCTGATTTGGAGTTTGTCAGTACCTGAGTATGTGTGAAAAATTCTTTCCAGATACACATAAGTGGAAATGGATGTTCTTTTTCTGCTACTGAAGTAATACTTTCTCTTCATATTTAACCTAACTAAAACTAAAAATGAAATAATACTGTGTTGATGAAATTTCCTGTTAGTGAGAGAAAAGACCTTCTTCTCGTAAGATACAACTTAAGAGAAGAAATGATTTATTTGGCTGATCATTTCAGTCTAGGGTTAGCTGGATCCAGTCCAGGAACATCATGGCAGAATCACACAGTAAAGCATCAAAGCTGCTTACTTTATAGTGGCCCGGAATCAAAGCATAGGGAAGAGTGGCAGTGAGAGACACACCCTCCAAAGGAAGGCAGGACCCAGTGATTTACCTTCTCTACCTGGGCTCCACATCCTAAAAGCACATTCAGCTATGAATATCAGCGCATGAGTCCACTAAGGACTGTACTTTCTCCAAGATCCAGTTACTTCTCCAGGAATCTCCAGTTAAATTCATAACAAACCGGTACGTATATTTACAACAAAATCAAAATTATCAGGAAATAAAGCGTGCATTTTGAAATAAAAGCTTTAATCAATCTGAGAAATAAGGAAAAACATTCTGATTCTCAGAGTGAAGAGCTGATGAGTATTCGTAGTCATAAAGTCCCGTCTGGCCAGGCTGAGTGCCCAGGAAAAAGGCTGCGGAGGCTTTCAGCTGTGGGAACCTCAGGAGATGCCAGACCATGATACAGAGGGGTCTTCTGGGGGTGTCTGAAGAGAGACGCGATCATAGGGCCCTGTGCCCAGATCAGTCCTTTCTGAAAGTGAGCAACACGCAGAGCTGTGCCCATCACTGTACGACCCCACAGTGCACAGTTCATTTGCCAAAGTAAAAGCTACATAATTGCTATCTTATTTGTTCTTAGAATCTCTAGGAGGACTCTTTTATTATTATCACTTCATGAAGATTATTCAGTAGATTTCAGGGGAGAGTTGTCTTGGGATGCCAGTCTGCCATGATTTCCTGTGCCCTGTGGTCTTCTGCAGGTGAATGCCATCACTGGTCTCTGTGCCACCAGACCTGCATGACACGGGTCAAAACTCTCAGCGACCCATCTCACAGTGGACTCATAGTAGCTGCGTGGCCTCTGGAGTCCCTTTAGGTGTGGAGCGGAAATGTGTGGACTCTGCAAGTCGCTTGCCTCCATAGGGCTGGCTCTGCCGATACCAACCACCACCGCACCAGACTTCTTCCCAGGCTGAAGCACAAGGGATCAAGATGGAGTTTGGGAACAGTTCAGACATGTAGAGGAAGACAGCAAAAGAGAGGACCAGCCAGAGTCCTGAAAGGCAAGCAACTACATCCACTGGTACCAGTTTCAAGAGGGGAGGGCCCCACGACGCCTTCTCTATTACGACTTCTCCAAATCCAAAGCTGGGACAACCCAGTATGCACAAGAAGCCTCAATATGGCTGGTGAGGGGGGCACATACCTTAATCCTAGCATTCTAGGGGATCTGAAGCAAGAGGATGGCAAGTTCAAGACTATCTAGGGCAACATCGTGTCTTACTGAGACCCTATATCAAAATTTAAAAAGTAATAATAAAGGGGTTGGACTAGAGCTCAGTGTGAAGGCTCCAGGTTAAATTCCCAAGATGGCAAGAAAAGAAAAATAAAAAGCTAAAATAATGTTTTAGTGAGAGTTTACTCTGGCACTGTCACTTACACTGTCTGGACCCTGTTGTGGTGATGTTTACAAAGTGACTGCTATGTCAGATCTGCAGCCCTAGATGGGAAAATTGGCTGAGTAGATTGTGAGCCATCAATTGGTGGGGAGATGGGTGGATTTTTTTGCTTCCTATTTTCTTCTACTTTTCAGGTGCTCAGCAGTAGGAAAAATATTACTTGGGGACACGGAAACCCATAAGCACCTGATGTGTCAAGGAAATGAATTGCATTTTGTGTTGTGAGCATTCCCAACTGTTTCTCCCCGTTGTTATTGTAGCCTTGTTATTCAGTAATCCCTCATTAGAGATTTCATAACTGCAGCCAACCACAAGCCATAAATTGTAATGAAATCTACCCACATATCAAGCCACACGCTCTTTTCAGTGACATTTGTTCCACCATCCTTCACTTCCTTCTCAAAGTCAGTGTGTTTCTGGTCTTCTCCCCATGGTACTGTAAATCATATTAGTCTAGATTAGACAAACTTAAAACAATATGAGGGGAAATTCTTGGTTCACACACACTCAATAGTAGATGGTCCTGACTTTTCAGCCCTCAGGAGACATTTGGAGGATTTGCATCCAGACCCTCCTGGTCTGTAAAAGAGACATAAAGTTTGGGTGAGGGCGAAGTATGATTCACCTCGTGTCCTCCTGCACCTTCCCTAGGGGAAACTGCTCCAGGGCACCCAGATGTCAGCCCCTGGGGTGGCCACGCAGAGGGTGGAGAGGGCGGAGAGGGCAGAGCTGGATCTGGCAGACCCTGAGTGGAGATCTGGAAGGTAGAACCTGGTACATGACCCTGGGTCTGTAGGAGCTGCCTCTGGCCTGGAACAGCAGCCTGCTACCTGTCCTGAGATCTGAGAAGGAGCATAAGCTGACGTCCTCACTTCAAACATATGGAATAAACTGGGTGTGCACGACATGACCACCGTTAGTGACCAGGAAGAGTGAAAGATCTGAAAGAGTAAGGCCCTTGATAGATATTTATGCATCATTGGTAGATACAATCTTTTTTTACCCTCAGTCTGTACCTGCATAATAATGTGGAATAAAATTGTTTCTCAAAAATTCATCGCTTATAAGAATCATTTTAAAGTTATTATAACAAAAACACTGCACTTCTGACAAAGGGTACTCAGTGCAATCATCAAGTGGAAGCCGGTCACACCATAGTAAAAGTCGAGGCCGGAAGTGGGGGGCTGTTCTATCCTGTGTACCAGGAGCAGCCACAAGCAAACTTTTCATTGTAGCATAGCACAGGTGTGGAGCACTGTGCCGGTCCAGACTGCACAGTAATACACCCCAGAGTCACTTTCTTCCACGTTGCGTACTACGAATTTACTTGTCCTTCCTGTGCCCACATAAGCATCGTATTTCCCTGACCTAACTCCTGAATCCAACATAGCTTTGGATTTGGAGAAGTCGTAATAGAGAAGGCGTCGTGGGGCCCTCCCCTCTTGAAACTGGTACCAGTGGATGTAGTTGCTTTGTGTATGGATAGTGCAAGTGATTTCCACATACGATCCACGTGGCCTGGTCATTACCGTCATTCCCTCATCCATGTTGGAAGATGTTTGACTGCCTGCTGGGGAAACATCACAAAATAATGAAGAAGAATTAATGGCATTCTTTGACTTGGCTGCGGAAAAAATAGCTCAAAAGCTGCTATGCTGCACACTTACCCGGAGGCAGGAAAGCTAGAAGCAGGGCCACAGCCCACAGCATGGCTGCTTCTCCTGAGCCTTACAAGGAGAGGAACCAGATGAGAAGAACTGAAAGGCCTCTCCAAACTCAAACCCTACTCCACATGAAGGGTTCTCTACAAGAGTGAGTTGGCGCTGGTCTTGACTGAATGAGAGGCAGAAGTAGCTGTGGCTCTAAGACACCCCAGCTGCTGACCAGAAGGGGCGGTACCTGGAAGGAGCCCCTGGTTCCCTGCCTCTGCGCGCTCCTGCAGCGCCCCCCTGCGGCCGCCGGGCGCAAGTCCTCACCAAAGGAAGAGAAGCCGGAACTGAGCACTCTTGACTGAGACTGGCTAGGTGTGAATGTGGAGGGATACCGAACCTGCATAGCACAAGCCTGTCCCTTGTGGGAGCAGTGACTTCCCTGAGTTCAGTCTCTCTCTGTTAATTCTTCCACCATGTTCTTGTCCCGAGATGAAAGCTCTTCATCATTGATCTGAAACACTGTAACTTATATCTGTGTATAAACTTGGGCACTCTCAAACAGCTACTCTGCTAATCCCTGACTCCAGTTTACTAAGAGAAATAGGATCAGTGATGTTGGCTACGTGTGACACTGGCCAAACGGAAACTGACATATGCGAACATGCCTGAATCAATTTTTTAGGAGAGTTTTCTTCATCAAGTCAAAACGACCCTCACATAGTCTAGCAAGATTTAGTTTTAAAAAACTACAGTATGCCACTCCAAGAAATATTCTCCACATACTTAATGTTTTTCCCAAATACAAATTGACATATGCATGCTGTATTTATTTTTCCACATCTTTTTATTAGTGCATCCTGGTTATAGAGATTAGTGGATTTCATTTTGACAGTATCATATGTATATATTAAATATTTCCATCGTTTTCACCCCTTGCACTACCCTCTATTCTAACATTCCTCCCTGGTTTCAAATTTGGTGAGGGGGTCAGTGCATAGACTAGTTTCGATCACTTCTATCCCCCATTACTCTGTACCCCCTGAAACTGACTTCCTCATTTCACTTGGATTCATTGATGGAAAGACAAATGATCAAATTAGTATAACAAAAAAATGATAGCACTTAAAGGTGATTATCCAGATTTTTTTCCCACCACATTTATTCATAATTTAAAATGTATACTTAAACTATCCTTAATGGAATGTGGAAAAACTGTCCCTGACAGTCATGGTTTTGGCCTCACTAGGATAATTCATCTCTTGCTGTGGTGACCTCTGGGAAGGCAGACAGGTAAGGAACTCCGGCTGTTCATCCTCTGCCCTCAGGGACCATGCACACAGGGACCGGGGGCTAAGGCAGGAGCAGTCAGAGAGCAGAGCCCAAGGCAGTTGCAGGATGGTATCACAGGTCCTCGTGCACTGCTACATGGAGCCAGGAAAGTCCTGCCTGGGAGAGAGGCTCATGGTTTGAGAGTGAGGGAGGAGAGTACTGCTGTCACGCTAGAGTGTGAGAAAACAAAATGTCAAAAACATTTAAACAACCCAAGTGTCAAACAAGAAGCTACTTCTACCAGAGTATGAAAGCTAAGCACTGAAAAGAAGCCAACACTGACTGGTGCTGGAGGAGAAAGATCTGAGGGACACAGGAAAATCCAGAAAGATCAGTAAGTGTGTAAGAATTTAACATATGATGAAGCTCTACATTCAGAGCAGCCAGGCTCGGTGAAGCATTCAGTAACTTCTCCTCTGGCAACTGGCTGCCCATATTTGAACAAATATGCTTGAATCTATACTTCACCCCTTGCAGATAGCACTTAGATGTAATCAAACTGTAAGCACAAAGGATTCAAGTTGGTCATTCACAAATTGAGTGCAAATTACAGGTGGGATAGACCATCAAGAGCAGGGGCTATAGGGAAAAATTGGTAGGTTTTATGAGGCAAAACATGCAAATTTCTAGTCATTAAAAGGTACAAAAAGTAGATAATGAGGAAATGTCTTTTTTTGTATGTTGGCTGTATTAATATCTCTAAAGTGATGTTTCAGACCACTTACAAACTAATAAAAATGAATATCCCAGTAGAAAAATGAATAGTGAATATAAATGGAGTGTTCATTCAACAGGTGTATAAATAAATGACGGTCACATTTGTGAAATTACATTAGCCCTCATTGTAGGCAAGAAAATGCAAGTTGAATGACCACACCTCATCTTAAGATCACCGCGCTGGGTGAGACTCTCCACCACTTCATATTTTATAACCTTGGCAAAGTCAGTTTATCCCATCAACCTCAATTTCTCATCTGCTAAGCTCAGTGGTACTTGAACCTTCTAGCGGTATTTGTAAAGATTAAATGAGATAATATACCTAGAGTACTCAGCACAGTAACTACCAGGAAAAGAGGACCTGTATTTATCACTCTTCACTATTATTACTACTAGTACAGTAACTGTTGTATACACATTTCAAATGGATCCATGACACACACCCTAAATAATAAACAAATAAAAACAAGAAAAGCATTAATTGTTTGAGTTTCTGTATTTAAAATCTTGAGGTGTGTGCACTATTTTAATTAAAGCATGAAATCTAAGTTGCTAGAAAATAAAAGAATGATTAAAATTTACAAAACTGAATGCTTCAGATCACAAATTACAAGTAATAAATTTAAATGAATATATATAGGGGCTGGGGATTTAGCTCAGTGGCACAGTGCCTGTCTGGCAAGTGCAACGTTGTGAGTTTGATTCCTGGTACCGAAAAAATAAATAAATAAATAAGTGTAATATATTCTCCATATGTGGTAGGGGAAAGATTTATTACTACTAAATTGAATAACGTGTTTTCAAGAAGTGAAGCAGGGTAAAAATATTAAATATAACTAATTACAATTTAGTTAGTGTGGATGAGAAATAATAAAGAACGGAGTAAAAATCTCTCCAAGCCTCCAGTCTTATAATTTTGTCTTTGCATGTATGTACAGGTTTCCATTGTATAAACAAATAGAAATTGAAACAGAAACCCAGTTTGAAAAATTAAAAAATACAAACTACAAGAAAAAAAGCTGCCTACCCATCAAAGGTGGCATAGAGTACAATTACTACGAAACACTCAGAACCTGGGATACAACAGTACGAGCTTCAAGACTGGACACTGAGAGGTGGTGTCACTCAAAGCTTTGAGCTGAAGCCCTGAGGGACTGGACCCATTGGCATTTAACGCCCATGATCACAGATATCAAAGGAGCTGCACTTTGCAATTAGTGATCTATATCGGCATTGAACAAAAGAACCCCAAGAATCCCCAAGTGTATTCATTATAATGTACTGCAGATATGTCAGGGTCTTTACTAGGTGCACGGTTACACGGCTGCTACATGGAACGAAGTGAATGGTAAAACAGATGTCAGCAGGAGAAAATTTTCTGTAGTCAGATTTCGCCGATGCATTTCCACCTTGTTTGAAAGTAGATGGAAAAGGAATTTTGCAGTTTTACTGGTAATATTCTGTTTCAGCATTCCTCGAAAGTTGTCTATTTTCCAGCTATCAATTACAAAAGAAACATAAAATTATTGTGTCTGTGATGGTGAGTGACATTGCCTTTGTTTGCTCTATAGCTTGATTAAGCAGATATTGTCTTTCCTTTAAATTGTCTGAACCTCTCATGAATGGTTTTTGGATTTTTTTTCTGAACTCTGCAAGCACAAAGTGATCAAGGCCTGCGAGTGGATTGAGCTTTCTTTTGTCCTAGGCACAAGTCCTGTCCTGAGAGCCTAACAATTCACTGGAGCCAAGACAATAAGCACTTACATCCCATAAGACACCTCTGACCCCTCCCTTACCTACCTGAAACAACCTCATCCAGCCCACAGCCCTGCTGGGCCTCAGGTGAAGCCGGTGGACATGCTGTATCTGCCAAGATTAACTGGAACAAAAATGTCAACACTAAGGCCATATTTTCTGGAAAAAAAAAAAAAAAATCCTTCAGTCAATTTTATCCATAGGGGCACAAATGTTCATCCCGAGTGAAGTGCTGGTGAATATGTGATGTCTTAAAGTCCCATCTGCCCTGGCTGAGAGCCCAGGAAGAAAGCTGAGGAGACCTTCAGCTGAGGGAAACTCAGCAAGTACCAGCAAAGGATGGGGAGGGGGCTCCTGGGGAGTCCACAGGGCGATGGCATCTCAGACACTTCTCCCAGATTAGTTATCTCTGCAACTTCATATCGGTCAACAAAACACAGGGCTTTGCCCAGATCTATATGATACCACAACCATCAGTCCATTTGCTGGAGTAAGAGGCACATCTTTTGTTATCTTATTTCTTGTTAGAAATTTAAGGGAGATCCTTTCCCCTATTACTGCTATTTTATGGAGATCATTTACTCCATTTGAAGAGAGTGTTGCCTATGTGTCAGTCTGCCATATTTTCAGGTTTCCCTGTGGTCTTCTGCAGGTGAACACAATCACTGATCTCTGTGGCACCAGACGCGCATGACAGAGGTTAAACCTAACACGACCTTCTGCTCTGGACCAATGGTGGCGCCTAGACCTGCGGAGTCCCCTTGTGTGTGGAGGTGAGAAGTCTGTGGATTCCACAAGTCCCTAGTCTGCTCAGAGCAGGCTGTGCCAACACCAATCCCCACAACGCCGAACTCCCTCTCA